GGTGGGCGATACCGGCCAGGGGTCAGCCGGTAGCATCAGGACCGAGCTTCTTCGATGGGCCAGTCACTGTGCCTCCCCTCCGGTCCCCTCCCCATGTGAACATCTGCAGTCTCTGCCCCCTCCCCCATGAACATCAGCAGTCTCTGCTCAATGCCACTCGGGGTGACCAACGGCATATCTCTAGGTGGCGGGCGCCAAGCTTGCCCAGGAAGGTGCATGAGGCCAGTGGGTATTGAACCCAAGACCTCCTGAATGCCACTTGCGTGCCTTACCAACTGAGCTACCTGCCACTAATCCTAAGGGAAAACCCGAAACCACACACACACACACCTGTCTCTTATACACATCTAGATGTGTATAAGAGACAGGGCGTGAACCACCATATCCCTACTTTCATCAGTCGAACATCGAAGACGACTTGGGCAATGACAAAACCAAACGGAAAACACAAACGTAACAGAAGATGAGCGAAACACTCGAGTCTCGATCTGCTCGCTCTCAAGACATAACCAAGAAGCAACGCAGCACTACTACCCGTCTTCCACCCGTATAGAAGGTAGTGCGGTTGCTATCCCTCTGTATCTAGACTTAAAATTCGCGCAAATGATGATACAATAACCGTACGTTTTATTCGGGGGAAGACGAGTAGCAACCACGCCGCCACACTCTCCGAGAGACAAGCCAACCCACCTTTGACTTCCTGGCAAGTCAACGCAACAGAAGCATGCACCGGCGTAGAGCATGCAATTCCATGCAGCGAAAGACGCATGCCGAACAGCGATCACGTCGGAGTTACCGTAAAGGAATGCGAGCTAACGCAACAGAAGCACGCACCGGCGTAGAGCATGCAGCGAAAGACGCATGCGGAACAGCGATCACGCCGGAATCGCTATGAAGAAATGCTAAAAAGAGCTCAGTATTATCTCCTTCTTTTTTTTCTCCTTTTTTTTTTTTTTTTAAGGCTAATTCTTTTAGCCCAACCAATTCAATAACCTGTCAAATCTGGACAGGACGGCCTTTATGGCCCTTTTTATTGTCATTATAGTATTACGGGGAACCCCGTAGCAGCCACATCCGTGCTCAAGCCTCCACCCGGCCTTTGTGGCCCTTTTTATTGTCATTATAGTATTACGGGGAACCCCGTAGCAGCCACATCCGTGCTCAAGCCTCCACCCACCAGCAGCAACAGAAGCACGCACCGGCGTAGAGCATGCAGCGAAAGACGCATGCGGAACAGCAATCACGCCGGAATCGCTATGAAGAAATGCTAAAAAGAGCTCAGTATTATCTCCTTCTTTTTTTTCTCCTTTTTTTTTTTTTTTAAAGGCTAATTCTTTTAGCCCAACCAATTCAATAACCTGTCAAATCTGGACAGGACGGCCTTTGTGGCCCTTTTTATTGTCATTATAGTATTACGGGGAACCCCGTAGCAGCCACATCCGTGCTCAAGCCTCCACCCACCAGCAGGTGGGCGATACCGGCCAGGGGTCAGCCGGTAGCATCAGGACCGAGCTTCTTCGATGGGCCAGTCACTGTGCCTCCCCTCCGG